CCTTTCTGCTACATGTTTCAGGGTATTTTTAAACTTCTGTCAGAGGCATTTGGTGTTGACTGCAACAAAGGCTGGGTTTGGGGTGTGCCATTGTTCTTGCTGATACCAAAGCCAGAGGTTCCTTGTTGACCAATTGCCATATTTGGGGTCAGGAAGAAATTTTACCCCATGGTCAGATTGTTATGGACTGTGTGGGGGGTTTGCCTTCCTCTGTAGCAAGGGGCATGGTCCTCTGCTTGGGGTCTCTTGAACATAGATTAACAACCTTTTATAGAGGCAGGACTTTAGCTGCCATGGTTCCCTTGCTTTAACCATGGCTGGTTAGGGTGTTATGTCTTGTGTTTTGTCAGGTTTGGTGGTACTCTTATGGAGAGTTTAGAGTGTGGATTGTATAGGATGGTTTGGTTAGGGATGATCCTGCCTCAGACAGGGTGTTGGATTTGATGATTTCTGGAGGTCCCTTCCGGCTCTGTTTCTCTATGATTCTATGACCCATAGCTCCATTAAGCCTCAGGTTGAGTCTTCTGCTATTTACAAGTCTATCAAAGTGAAAGAAGGAGTTTATGTGTGAGGCAAGCACTGACCTTGTAACCATGCTATGGTTCTCTTGTCCAGTTCATTTGTGTCAAAGCAATCAAAAAACAGAGTGCTATCTGACAAAGAACAGAAGCATTTGGCTAAATCCTTGTCTAGAAACATCTTTCTGCAACTTTCAGGGGGCAGAAGATGCATAGACCCAAAAAAGGACGTGTCTACACTTAGATGGAGACATATCTCCAAGCACCCCCCCACTCACCTGCTGCTGCACATATGCTAAAAATAAAAATGGACATATGCCACAAAAGCTGTCCCAGGGGTGTTCCAGCATCTCCTCAAGTGCACTGGAGAAACCAAGTCTTGAGAGAAGCTGGAAAACACTCCAGGAGTCTTTCACCAGAATATTTCCAGGTATGGAATGTGCATGCAGAAGTAAGTGAATGTGACACGCTTGGGTGTGGCCTGTCTGGGCTAGACTGGCACCATTGGGTAGGTGAACCCTAGCAGTGTTTAACCTGCTTTGAGGCAGCAACTAAACCTAACCCCTGTGGATATAAGGAGCACCCTACTCCACCCTGCAAAGCCCATTTGCTTGACATACTTATTGCTAAGGATTTGTGTTTCGGCTTAGCAAAGAAAGGAAATGGTTTTGGAAAAGTGTGCTGATTTAAACCAATCAGCTAGAGTATATAATCCTCCGAAATTGGACTGACAAATTTGACTGTATCTTGTTCAAATCAATTAGTTTCAGGTGAGTCATTTTGTGAAACCTTCTGCAAAATGAAAGGGAATTTGCAGAGAGGGACAGATGCAGGTCTTTATTGTTCTGCAGAATAAGACCCACTTATCTTCCCAGTAGATTGTTACCAACCAGGTGGCGCTGACAAGAGAACTAGAAATGGAAACCACATAAAATCAGGACTTAAAGCATCAACTTCACTGAAATACTTCCATAGATGGTGTCTTTCTATCTACTGTGTTACTTGTACATGCAAGTTCTAGAATTTTGAAACACTCCTGACAGAAGTCCCTCTGATTACCTAGCACAGGAGTTTTCAGCCTTTTTGGATCAGTGTACCCCCAGCAACCAGACGCAGAGCAGGAGGTGGGGAGGGAGGTAGGGGTGTGGTGGGGCAGCACGGGATGATGTGTGGCAGCGCTCTGTCCCCGCTTTCCCACGCATACCCCTTAGGGCCTTCTCAAGTACACCTGGGGGTACGTGTACCCCCGGTTGACACCCCTGGCCTAGCATATCTTCTTGTAGGAGGTATAAAGTATTTACATTCATGAAGTAGAAACCGCAGTTGGAAATTGTGAGTGGTTTCCATTTCCTTTGTGCTTCCTAAGTGGTGTAAAGGAAGCAGAGCAGAGCATAATATCTGCCCCAAGTTGCAGACTGGGCCTTGTAACTTCTTGAAATGTTTGGCCCTCAGCTGAAGTGACTGAAGACCACTGTATTCAGCTATCCTGTGTAATAAGCAAGTTATATTTACATATAGGTCTTAAGCTAGTGGTGGTTTCAGTGTGAAGATGTCGCATTGAGCTAGATGTATAAAATAGCCTGCTGGCTTAATACATAATCCTATTCTCATGCGTACTTGTTCCTTATCTCCTAGTCAGACCATTTGCTGGGCACTGAGATTTTTTTCTTTTTATATGGTCGATACTTAACCACATGGTTTACAGCAATTTACATGAAAAACAACACCACCATTTATCGTACAGTACATGCCAAAATGAAATTGCAGCATATCCCATTTTGTGCAGGCAGCTTTGCAGCCAACTTCCAGGGCTTAGGGCTACATCCTGCCCTTTTGGAAGAAATGCTTAAACTGTAGATTTTAACAGATGTCCATGTGCCACGAGTGATGCCAAATGGCTACCTTTGCTCAAATGAATCTTTTGCTCTGCAGATTCAGCTAGCTGTAAGTGGGGCATGTGGCTCCATGCTTCACAGATTTGAAATGTCAGCATCCATCAAAAAGCTATCCCTGTACCCTGAGCTAGAGCTAACCACTTTTTGTAAGTTCAGAGTGCCTCACTGCAGCTTCAAAACCCACATTGGACACTCAAATGATTTATTTCTCGGTGAAGCCCCTGATCTCCTTACTGAAAAGGAATACTGTTTTCTGTAGTATATTTATGTCTGTGGTAAAAGATCAAAGGTTTTTGACATATAATCTAAAAGATTGCTCCACAGTGGATTTATTCTTGACACTAGTCAGAATGTTATAAATAACAGCCAGAAGTATATAATGGGAAGGCTGACTATGCTCACACTAAATTAGATGCATCAAATGCTGTGTCCTAGGTTTCTGAGAGGTGTACACACACATAGCTTCAACAAGTCTAGTACATCATTTATGCTTTCAATACCAGGTCCACAAGATGCTTCCCAGTATTGAATTTGATGGCCAGACAATGAAGTGCCTCTGAGCTTTCATCAGTACAATATTGTACAGCTGAGGATTACAATATTGTACAGCTGGGGAGGAACAACCGGCACCACACCTACAGGTTGGGGAACTCCCCTCTTGTCAGCACGGAGGCAGAAAAGGATCTTGGAGTCATCATTGACTCCAAGATGAACATGGGTCGGCAGTGTGGGGAGGCAGTTAGGAAGGCCAACCGTACCTTGTCATGCATCCACAGATGCATTTCAAGCAGGTCAAAAGAGGTGATCCTCCCCCTCTATGCGGCACTGGTCAGGCCGCAGTTGGAGTACTGCGTCCAGTTCTGGGCGCCGCACTTCAAGAGGGATGTGGACAGCATGGAGAGGGTCCAGAGGAGGGCCACTCGCATGATCAGGGGACAGCAGGGCAGGCCCTATGAGGAGAGGCTACGGGACCTGAACCTGTTCAGCCTCCAAAAGAGAAGGCTGAGGGGGGATCTTGTGGCCTGTTATAAACTAGTCAGGGGGGATCAGCAGGCATTGGGGGAGTCACTGTTCCCCCGAGCACCGCCAGGAGTGACCAGGAATAACGGTCACAAGCTGGCAGAGGGTAGGTTTAGGTTAGACATCAGGAGGCGCTATTTCACGGTCAGGGCGGCTAGGGTCTGGAACCAACTTCCAAGAGAGGTGGTGCAGGCTCCTACCCTGGGGGTTTTTAAGAGGAGGTTAGATGAACACCTTGCTGGGGTCGTTTGACCCCAGTACTCTTTCCTGCCATGGCAGGGGGTCGGACTAGATGATCTGCTCAGGTCCCTTCCGACCCTAGAAACTATGAAACAGTCAGTTTGGTCATTTTAGCTTTTCCTTGATCCAGCTTTCTGCATGCTTGTAAGGTGTGGCAAGGTAAGGTCCCTTCCTCCAGTCCACTGTTTTTCCTCTGTCTCCTTCCTAAACCCATAAGGAAGAGCTGGCAGTTGTGAACTTGGGCTCCCTTTGAGCTTCACTTTGGGAGTTTGAACTAGTCTGATGCTTCAGATGCAACCCGCTGTGAAAATTCAGAGAAACCCAAACTGTTTGAACTAACAACACTTAAAGCTGAAACTGGGAAATTTCTGCAGAGCATGTTATTTCGGCTCTGCTGTGATTCAGCTCATTTCTGGCGTAGTATAGGTTTGGTTTTTCAATACAGTAAAAATATTCTGACTATGATGCGCTTTGCACAATGCTGACATGCCAGATACATGCTGCAAATATAGTGTTCTCATCTCATATATAGCTAGTCCGTTTTCCATTTGAGTGGCTGCTCACTCACACACTTAAAATAAGCACTTTCTGTATCCATTTTTGTATAATTCAGAAAAATGGGAAGTGGTAAAGCAATAATAAGAATAAAATCATCATGTATTTTGCTCAGTTTATTCATGGCAGGAAGTGCCCCTTTTGTAATTTTTTATGTTGGTTGGAGGAAATGTTTGTCGTTTTCTTTTGTATAATATAAAGAGTTCTGAAGCAAATATTAATTTGTCACAGATTAAAATATTATTGTTAGGTCCCCTTGTCCATTTTTTGTTTTATGAATATGAAGTCCTTTAGGAGCTGCAATAATTCCATGTAAGCTTCTTCTATGCTATGTTTTTCATGTGGACCTTTATGGTCTGATAATAAGACATGATTGGTCATGTCTTCAGGATTGCATTGATATTGATATTCATGAGACCACTGAACATTAAACTAACCTTTTGAACTTTTTCTTTTTTTCTGAAGTTATGGTACAGCTTCATGTGATATTATTATGGCCCCATTTGCTTTTGCTCAGGCTGACCTCTCACACTAGAAATGAAGATGACATTTTGTTTTAGAGACTCATCCACTCTAGACTGTGTTGTTTAAGTGTAACTCTCTCAATTTTTTTCTGTAGACCCCAGACAGCTGTAAAACACATAACTGAGGCATAATTTTGGAATTCTATGAAACAGATGTAGGACTTTCATGTTGAACTTTGTTTTTCTGTAATGCAAACAGAGAAGATGTGTTATTGATGGGAACAAATGTTATTTTTCTGTGTTTGCAGTGTGGTACCATGGACCAGGGTCTCTATGTGAATCTGACTGAGAGGAATCTTCAAGATGCCCAAAAATTTATTCTAATGCATGAGGTGGTTCAGCCTGTCATTCCGATTCCTTACTTCATGGAAGATAACAGCCGGTTTTCTCATGTGGCAGTGGACGTGGTGCAGGGCAAGGAAATGCTTTTTCATATCATCTATCTGGCCACAGGTATATGCTTAACGGTGCTAAGATAACTGTAGAAAGTCAAGAAGCCTTTTCAGTGGTCAGTACATTAGGTCTCAATTGCCTAAACCAGGGGTGCTTAACTCCCAGTATGCAGGACAGATCTGGCCCTTGGCACCATGTCATCTAGTGTGGTAGGCCATGGCCCTGAACTCTAGATTGGGTGTAAAGGGCAATGCAGGGCCTGATCCTAGGGCACGGGGGCTGGGTGGGGGCAGCACAAGTCCTAGAACCTGATCCTGGCTGGGCAAAGGCAGCAGAGGGCCCTGGAGCTCAACCCTGCCTGAGCAGAGGCCGTGTGTGGGCCCCTGGAGCCTAATCCCAGCACACAAGTGTGATATCTGTGATTCTGGCCCCTGGGGCCAAAACCATGAGCACCACTGACCTAAACCACCTAGGGCAACTGATTGGTCATTTCGACAGCATTCATTTGACCTTTCATCTTTTCCAAAGCAGATCAGCGGAATGGTGTGTTGGGCATGTAGATCTTTTGAACAAAATGTTATAAACCAAGGTTCTCCCTCAATATCTAGAGGTTAATTTTCAGTGTTTTAATAACTCAGGGGCTCCAGCCCATCAAGATGAAAAGGACAAACTCAATTTGAAATGTGTTGATTCTTGCAGTCTAGAGTATGACCTTGCTCATAGTTTGTAAAAAGCTTTAGAAAATTTTAGGATGGGAGATTTTTGTATCAGTGCCAAATATTATTATCACTATGGCTATTTTCATCTCTTCTTCAGCCAGCACAGATTTGCTGTCTATTCTCTTTTACAGGCCATGTTTAAATAATTCATTCTTAGAAATTTTTACCCCCTGCTATCCTTATCCTTTTACCCTGAAGTTTAGGAATGAAAGAAAAATATTCCTCCATTGAGAATGTCACTTCCTGGACTGTAAGGGTTTTAGGACAGAACGAACTTTTGCCTGAACTTTTAAAAAAGTGGTTGAACTATTTTTTACTGCAGAGTATTTTTGAAGCAGGTCACTGGTTATTTTATGCCACTGATCAAGATTCAGATACAGACTAGTGACAGTAAGCACAGTCTCAACTTGTAAACTTTCATTCACACAATTAGCCCTCATGTAATTGGTCCCAGAGGCATGAGTAGGGACTACTGTAGTTAACAGTGGTTTGCAATCTTTGCCTCTTTCTTACGGCTAATACAGTAGCAAGTATGGAGAATTTAAAAACTATTGGTTTTATCCTACTTTCATTTAAGTTGATGAAAACCACTCATTGATTTCAATAGGAGTGGGATCAATGGCTCATGTTATATTTCACCACAATTACAGCTTCTTAATAAAAGCAATACATTTTATAGCCTCCTTTTTTAAGGGTTGTGATGAAAAACATACTGTTTTATGGAGGACTGTGTTTCAATATATGGCTTAACTTTCTCTAGAAAATGTGTTACTTATGAATCCAAGCAATAAACTCATCTTTTAGCAGGACTCTTGTTTCTTTTGGGCTATTACTAGGAGATATTATGATCTTATATTGTCAGCTGAGACCAGGCTACTTGGGGTATTACCACAGCACAGCAAGGTTACTCATTGTTCTGGAAACATATGTAGCAAAATAAAAACCTTTAAGAGATTATAACAGCGCAAGGATTTGGCCAAGAATAGTCAAAACAACCCAGTGTTTGGTAAATTATAGTATTTTAAGTGGAATCATAGCCATACTAAGTGTTGTTTATACTGTACAACCCTCCTGATAGAAATAGGCTTACAGAAACACATTTTGAATTGTTTTCATACTTGGTTGCTATTGCTGCACTGAGATATTTGATCGCATCATAATGGCAGCATTGAGCATAATGTAATTTCTCATAATTCCTGATTGTCTCCAGGTTTTCAGTTTTGTTCATGGTGTTTTCTGTTGCATTTGATTAGGTAAAAGAGCATTCAGAGGTTTAAGTCTTTGAGACTGGCTAATGAACCATCCTCTCATTAAAATATATATTATGCACCTTCTGTGCGGTAGATTAGGGCTAGATCCTCTGAAGTTTTATTCAGCCAAAACTCTCAATTAATTCAATAGAAATTGAAGTCACTAAGACCCTTACAGGAGTCTGTAGGTGACTTGTAGGATTTAGTCCTGCCTAACACATCCCGTGATAGCTGTATGTTAAACATATATGGTAGGAAAGAACAAGTATGCATATAACTAGTTAACAAATGGAGTCTTAGTGTTAATTTTAACAGTGAGTCCAGCTTCGTTTAAACATGAATTTTGCATTAAATATATTCATTTTTTTTAAGCTTTCATATACCTCAGAGATCAGGTAGAGAGAGTCCTTGCCTTATCAGTTTGCCTTTAGCTAGTATGTCATGTTTCAAAACTAGTTTTTAAAATTGTCCCATTTCCACCGGAGGGCTATTTTGTAAGTTATAACAAGGGTGAATTTGGAACCAGAGTGCATGGTGTGTCATAACTGGGAAAATCTGAACTATGAGGCATTAGTATTGAGCCGTGTTCTTTTCTTCCTATTATAACTTTCTTCACGCAAAGAGTTTTGGTTTTGGTATTTGGTTTGAAAGAGGTAGATCATATCAACTTGCACAGGTGCATAGATGTTGGTGAGTAGGCTGGGAGCTTTCCCATATATTGCCACAAAATCATTCATACTAGGATATTGTGAATTCCTGAGATATGGAAAAATTGTGTGAAATGCTTGAATTTTTAAATAACAGTTTTTCTAAGTTGTGACATGTTTCCAGTGTATTCCTGGAAACGTAGCAGAGGCTTCCTGTAGCAAATTTAAAACCTGTAAATCCCCATAGTTTTAGGAAAGGCTCTGTTGCCATGGGGAACAGACTCTGTTTGCCCTGTGTTTCAAAGGTCAGCGCTCAAGTCCTGTGAATCTGATACTTTTATTAACTTTTATTTTCCATCAATGAAATGGTAGATGAATACTTTCCACACGGAATGCTAACTAGGTTCCCTGCTTCTAGGGTTCATAAACCAGCAAATGAATGGGAGCAGAAGGATCAAATTAGGTCCAGATGATCTGAGTAATAAAACTGCTAATGATTTCTTATTATGTACTGTAAATGTCACAGTTCTATGTGTTTGAATAATGCCTTTTATAATTTGGCTACTTTTCTTCATGTGCAATATCCTGGATCAAAATAGGGGTAGGAGCACATGAATAAATTACTGTGATTCTAAAGCAGGGCTGTCTAACTTTGGTGTAGCTGGGGGCTGCAGGAGGTGCTGCCCTGGGCTTCATAATGCACAGACCAGGGGCTATGGGGAACGCTTCCCAAGATCCCTCTACAGCAGTTGCTGTGTTGGCAGCATGTGACTCCCCCTGCCTTCTCCACCAGTAGCACATACTTCACCAGTAGCACATACCCCATGCTCCCCTGCCCCACCACGAGCACAGTGGCACACAGCTCCCAGGCCCCAGGGCCTGTGGGCTGCATGTTAAGCACCATTTGGACAGCTCTAATGTAAAGGAAGGTAGGGATCTACTGTATGTCAGCTCTGTCACACTAATGGCCAGCTCACATTCTTACCCTGTAGTAAATGAGTGCTAACCTATGGTAGCCAAGCCCTCAATGGCAGGGTACTTTGGTGAAAGAGAGATAAGCTACCATGAGTTAGCCTTCCTATACCACAGGATAAAAGTGTGCTCCCAGATGGTCACTGAGAGGTACGTGACACACTGTTAATCCCTGCTCTTGTTTATTTGGCTGTAAGCTGTATGTCCATGCCCTAAGTACTTTCTTGGCCACCTTACAGCTTGTAGGTACTTGGCTTCATTCCCCTGAGAATGATAGACTTCTCTTTAATCCAGAGGTGTGAACTAGAGTTCCTCTGTATCAAGAGATGGAGAAAGAGTGCTCAGAGATGAGACCATAACCTCTGTTATCTTAAAAGTCACAGATTTTAAGACAAGGTTAGACCATTAGCTTGTTTACTCTGGTTTCTCGTATATTGCAAATTGTATTGACTGCTGACAGGCCTGAAAAAAACAAACAGATTAGTGCCTTACCAGAAGAGGAAGCATGTTAGTTCAAACCAGCTCCACAGCAAAGCAGGAAAAGCCCCTCCTCATCACTGTTTTCATAGGAAGGGTTGAGGAAGGTAGGAGACCAAAGCAGCTTCGAGTGGCTCCACTCCCTTCTCCCTCTCGTGGTTGAATGAGTAACATAGTTGGCTTCTCTTCTTGCCCCTCCAGCACAGACAGAGGAAAGTTTGTTTTCGTACCTGCTGCCTGGAGGGACTGGAGTCCTGCAGGGGGTCTGAAGGGCAGAATTGATATGGTGGGTGGGGACTCAGGGCAGTACTGCTTTGCTGGGGACCAGAGGAACAAGACTGATTTGGAGGGTGAGTAGTGGAGAGCAGAAGTAATACTGGGTCAAAGGGCCAAAATCACCTTAAAATCTGGGGGAGGGAAGGAGTGAGGGGGGGATAATGAAGGAGTCTGCATGCTGCCTGGCCTGGCTGTGGCTGGAGTGGAGTGGAGTGGAGCAGTGTGGGGCACAGCTAGGGTGGCCATCATAGAGGACAATCCGGTTGTCCTCTGCCCTCTATTGATACAAAACCAGGCAGCTTTATGTCCTCTGTTTTTCTCTTGAAGGAGGTGCTGCCCTGGGCTTCATAATGCACAGAGCACATGCTACGGGAAACGCTTCCCAAGATCCCTCCACAGCAGTTGCTCTGTTGGCAGCAGGTGGCTCCCCTGCCTTCTCTACCAGTAGCACACACCCATGCTCCCCTGCCCCAATTTTCTTGAAGAGAAAAATAGAGGACATAACATGCCCAATTATGTGTTTTACAGCTGTGGGGTCTCGTATGAATAGAGGACAGAGTAGCAGAAAACCGGAATGTCCCCTATGATGGCCACCCTAGGCACAGCCCTCCCTCCTCAGGCTCAGTGGCCCCCCAATAGCTCACCAAAACTCCTTAAGTGGCCGTCCAGCACAAATAATTGCCTGCCCCTGTTGTACCACTACCTATCATGTCTAATAA